AAAAAAAAAAAAAAAAAAAAAAAGTTTAAAGAACACAATTCATTAAGCAGCAACCTAGTTTGTTTTAATAAAAACATCAACCTTTTAGATCAAATCCAAAAAAGTTTAACACCATGTTTACAAGTTTTATTTACCTGCTGGGAAAATATTTATTGCTATTCAGAAGACATGCAGCACCATCAAGTGTGTGTCTAGTATAGTCTATTGCAGGACACTATAAAGGAAAGGATATAAAAAATGCATCAACATAGAGCTCTACCTCTTGCATGAGGTCTGTTATGAAATACTTGTCTTATTCCAAAAACATGAGCATGTCTGAAGAAAAACATCTTACAATATCAGAATGACTATAAAATTTAATGTTACAACAAAACTACATTAAAAAAGAACAGGTGAAATTAATTTTAATGATATAATTTATTTCTCTATCTACCCCAAATTATGTCAACATATAACTGATACAAAAATTATTAATGAACTTCTTTGGGGTATTTAAAAATTAGCAAACATGTAATTCACATACCATAAAATTTCTTTTAAAATGTTTATTGCTTTGGGGAGCAGGGGGCAGAGAGAGACAGAGAAAGAGAGAATGAATCTCAAGCAGGCTCCACACTGAGCCCCGATGTGGGGCTTCATATCACGACCCGAGTGGATGCTTAACTGACTGGGCCACCCAGGGGCCCTGGCAAAATTTCTCTTTTAAAATGTACAACTCAGGGACACCTGGGTGGCTCAGTCGGTTAAGCATCTGACCTCAACTCAGGTCATGATCTCACAGTTCATGAGTTCAAGACCCATGTTGAGCTCTGTGCTGACAGCTCAAAGCCTGGACCCTACTTTGGATTTTGTGTCTCCCTCTCTCTCTCTGCCCCTCCCCCATACACATTCTGTCTCTCTCTTTCAACAATAAACATTTAAAAAATAAAATAAAATAAATAAATAAATAAAATAAATAAAATAAAAATAAAATAAAAACTCAGAAGTTTTTAATATATTCACAAATTTATGCAACCATCAGCAACTACATTTCTGAAAATTTTCATCACCCCAAAAAGAAACCTAGTATCAATTAGCAGTCACTTCCAAATCTCTCCTCCCCCTGACTTGAAGCAACAATTAATCTACTTTCTGTTTTCCATGGATTTGCCTATTCTGGATATTTTCTAAAAAATGGAGTAATATGTGGCCTTTTGTGTCACTTAGCATTTTTTCAAGGCTCACCCATAGTGCAGCATGAATATTACTTCTTTTTTCGATTCAAAATCTTTTTAAACTTTGTTTTTAATATATACAAAAATGCTGTAATCCCTCATAGACTTCATTCTTTTCTATGGCTGAACACTATTCCGTTGTGTGCATGTATCACATTTTGTTTATTTACTCATCTTCAGTTGATGAAAATTTGGTCGTTTCCATGTTTGGCTATCATGAATAATGTGACTATATCAGTGTACAAGTTTTGTATGGACATATGTTCGCATTTCTTTTAGGTATACACCTAAAAGTGGAACTACTAAGTCATATGGTAACTACGCTTATCATTTTAAAGAACTTCCAAACTACTTCCCAAAGTGGCTACAGTATTTTATAGTCCTATCAGCACTGTATGATGATACTCCTTTCTCCACATCCTGGCCAACACTTGTTATTATCTCTTATATTTTGATCATTCTAGTAGGTGAAGTGTATGCCATTGTGGGGTGTGTCTTTCTTTCCATTAAAAAAAAAAAGTGGTAAAATACGTTTAAGATGAATTCTGCCATTTCAACCTTTTTTTTTTTTAAGTTTATATATTTTGAGACAGTGTGTGTGGGGGGGGGGGGAACCAAGATAGAGGGAGAGACAGAATCCCAAGCAGACTCCATGCTGACAACAGAGAGCCTGATGTGGGGCTCAAATTCACCAACCATGAGATCAGGACCTGAGCTGAAGTCACACACTGAACCGACAGAGCTACCCAGGTGCCCCCTCCCCTGTCTCAACTTTTTAGATGTACAATTCAATGGCACTAATTACATTCACTATTGTGCAACCATCACTTCTATGTATTTCCAACCAAAGGTTTTTCATCATCCTAAACAGAAACTCTGTAAACCATTACGCAATAATGTCCCATGTCCACTATCCCCCAACCCCTAGCAACCTCTAATGTACTTTCTACATCTACGAATTTGCTCTTTATAAACATTTCATGTAAGTGGAGTCATGTAACATCTACCCTTTGGTGTCCGGCTTATTTCACTCAGCATAATGTCCTCAAGGTTCATCAACACTGTAGCATGTTATCAGAACTTCACTCTCTTTTATAGCTGAATGATATTCCATCCTGTACATTCCATTTATCCACTCATGGTGGTTTTGATGATTAATGAGCATTTTTTCATGTGCTTATTGGCCATTTGTTTATCTTCTTCAGAGAAAAGTCTATACAAATCCTGTGTTCATTTTTAACTGGGTAATCTTAATTTTTTTTAAGTTTACTTATTTGAGAGAGAGAGAGAGAGTGAGCATGTGCATGAGTGCATGCAAGTAGGGGAGGGGTAGAGAGGGGAGATAGAGAAGATAACCCCAAGCAGGCTCCACGTTATCAGTACAGAGCCTGATACAGGGCTCGAACTCACAAACCATGAGATCATTACCTGAGCCGAAATCAAAAGCTGGATGCTTAACTGACTGAGCCACCCAGGCACCCCAACTAGGTAGTCTTTTAATTGCTGAGTTGCAATAGTTATGTATCTGGGTATCAGACCCGTATCGGAGATAGGTTTATAAAAAATATTTTCTCCCATTCGTAGACTGTCCTTTCACTTTCTTGACAGTGTCCTTTGAGGCAAAAAAAATTTTTAGTTTTGATAAAATCTGAATATTTTCTTCTATTACTTGTGTTTTTGGGGTCATATCTAAGAAATTATTGCCTAGTCCAAGACCATGAAGATTTACACATATGTTTCTAAGAGTTTTATAATTCTAGTTGTTATATTTAGGTTTTTGAACCATTTTCAGCTTATTTTTGTATAAGGTGTGAGTTAAGGGTCTAACTTCATTCTTTTGTATACAGATTACCTAGTTCTCTCTTAATGAGATATTTGATGTCTTTCTGTACTCTTTGAAAGGGTATTTTATTTCATACTTTGAGCATATCTCAGTTTGGACTACCAACATTAAATGCTCTGTAGCTGCATGTGGTTCATGACTACTATTGTATCAGCATAAATTTAGATCTTTGATTGGTTACTGGAAGAAAAAAAAACTTTTTTGGAGATGGGGGAAAGGTTTTATCTTATTTTAGCTGCTTCCCTCCATCTCTCTCCAATTAACTCTCAGTTAACTAACCCTATTTTGTATCATTTGTAACAGCAAAAAGTTAGCAAAATATACAAGGTTACAAAATAAGAAGCAATTTGTTCACAGGCTTTTATAAATTCTATTTTGCCAAATATATATTTATAATGCTACTGCAGTCTGCATGTGACTGAAAGGGCTAGCAGATGATAACAAGTTGTTGATAACAAGTTGTCACTTACAGTCACTATGTACAATTAACTCTGTTGCAATGACTCTTTAATTCTCAAGAACATTGGTAAAATCACCATTGGTGCTGAGTACCCTGCCTCTTCTACTTTACAATCTTCCCTGTTCTTTTCATCTGTAAGAACAACTTTCTTAGTTCCTAATTTGTTAGTTGCTATTATTTCCTGACTACACAATTATTCTAACAGTTCATAAAGTGTCCTTTCAAGATTTTCTTTTGTATTTTTACAGAAATTCCTTTGCATACAACTTACTACTTGAAAATGCCACCATCATTCATCCTCCCTTGACACAATTCAATGGAGCTGGTCTTCAGCAAACAATGTTACAATTCTAAGACTCATTCACAAGACCTAATGCTGATAATCATCCTATCTTATATTTATTACTAATCAAGAAAAAAAGCAAATATGACAATGACAGTCCATATAAATCTCATAATACATCAAAGATACAAACTGGGTATCTTTTCCACTCTAAAGTGAGAATAATGCATCTTCACTATTTGCCAAAATGAAACTAGCCTTCTTGATTCAGTTTCCTAATTGCAATTATCACATAATTCACTATACTATGTAGCCAATTTCAATAAATTATCAATAAAACTGCTATGTGGATTTTCCCATATATAAAATGATAATCTTAATATTGCTTCAATTAACTAACACAAAAAGAGTAACACCCTGAATGAAATTAGTCATCCAAAAAAGTCATCCAATAAGTCAACTTGTCTATTTGCTTAGACAAGTACCAGATACTTCTTATTTTGGAGAACTTGCCTTTTCATTTTTTTTTTT